GTTCACAAGACCCCAGACAGGTGATCATCCAACCTCCTCTTGAATTTGCCAAAGGTAGCGGCGAGGACCACTCCCCTGGGAAGTTGGTTCCAGATTTTGGCCACCCTAACTGTAAAATATTGCCTTCTGATCTCTAACCTAAACCTATTCTTCACCAGGAACATTGTTCCTCGTCACCCCAGGTGGTGTTGGGGAGAAAAGGGCTCTGCCTATTTGCTGTTGATCCCCGCGATGAGCTTGTAGGCAGCCACCAGGAAAAGCGATTTGAATCTCTGAATCGAATTGCTGGCATCCAAATTGGCCAAATCCAAATCCAAGCCGAATAGTTCCCTATTCACGCAGGCCTGTTATTTAAGGCCAGAATGGCCCATTCAGTCCTCTCGGAGCTCCTGGATAGCACAGGCCAGAGACCCCTGTGCACAAAAGCGGGAAACATCCTCATGGTCTCAAGGGCCCTTGGCCCATCTTCCGTTCCAGGTTCTTAGGTGTTGATCCTTCTGTACTTTTTTCTTGCATGTTTGGTGTTTAATGAGTAATAAATCTTTCTCCTCCCTTGTCTCCTCTACTGTGGTGTCTCTTCTGCGCTGCTTGTATCCTGAGCCTGCCCCTTTACAGGTCTCACAGAAAGTCTTCCTCAGCCAAACCTCCAGCAAACAGGAAGCATCTCCTCAATCAGCCCAAACGAACGAGACAACATGGCCCACTTCGGCCTCACCCCTGAGGACAAGGGGACAGTTGCCAAGCTGTTTGTCCTTCCAGTCGCTCTCCTTTTCTTCTGCCCTTTGAACACACCACCTGCTTTGACTACCATCTAGTTTACTGAGGTCCTTAGAGCATCCTCACCAGGATGTAATATTATACATACATATATAGATACACACACACTTTACATAACAAAACCTGTGGAATCTGTCACAGGAAGCCATTAGCTGCAGCTGAGACAAACATGACTAGGAGGAGGGTGGTTTAGATCAGTGTTTATCAATCCATGGGTTGCGACCCAAAAGTGGGCCGCAAGAATATATAAAAGGGTCACGAACAAACTTTAAAAATGGATTCTCCTTTAAAGGAAAAAAAATAACCATGGGAAACCGTGGGTTTTCCCTTGCAGGCTGGCAGAGTTGCAGCCTGCAAGGGGCTGCTTGGGGCCCCCTATACTCCACGCCCCCCCACCCCCTCTGCCCTACACATGGGGGGCTGGGGGCAGTGGGGCAGGAGTGAGGGGCACTGGGTGGGGACTGGCCACTGATGTTTACAAATGGGTCCTGGTACAAAAAATGTTGAGAACCACTGGTATAGATGATGTGCTGAAGTCCCGCCAGCCCTATGACTGAAATAGTAGGGAGTCCCTTGCCCTGCCCTGCCCTGCCCTGCCCATCACTGCAGTAACAGCCTCCTCTACCATGAGAGCACTAACCTGCTTGCAGGTGACTTAGAGACAGAGCCTCTACACCCATTGTTCAAGCATGCAAGTTCAAGGCTACAGGGAACAAAGAGAAAGCAAGCAGCTAGATGAAGTCAAGCTGCCAACAAGGTTAAGAGAGTTCGAGGCTTTTTCAGCCTCTACTTCCTTTTTCATTTGTTAAGCACCGAACTCCTAGCAAAACAAATAAAGAGCAGAAACAACAGCATCTCTTGGGAGTAGGCCCGCTCCTGTCAGGCCAGGCTCCTGCAATGCAACTCAGACTGAGCAAGCCACTGACAATAAGTCTGTTAGGGGGCTTACCCACCACAGACTGTGCCTGGGTCAGGCTGAGGCTGACATTCTGCTGTTCACCTGTTGCATCCC